AATTCAAACATGTCAAATGTGGTTTAGAAGATTCTGTTCAGGAAATTTAGAACTAAAAGAATAAAAAAAATAAAGAGTACCCAAAGGCTGCCAATAAAAAAAAATTGCAGGAAGAAATTGTTAAAAATTGACAAATAATACTCAATATATATAATCACACACACCAAAAATAAAGTAAAAAAAGCACTAACAACATACTAGCTTATGAAAGCAAGACAAACTTGAGTGCAAAACAGATTGCATTTATACTTTGAGTGTATTTTTTCACTGTGTACAGTTAAATGTTTGAAGAATCATTCAAACCCAAAGTAAATTTTTGTCAAATTTAGCATTTGAACTCTGAAGTTTTTTAAGTATGAGATACCATTGCATTTTAAAATTTATACTTCTCTCTCATCAGTGAATTACACACCATTGGTTTTAATGACTTCTTGCCATCTATTTGGCAGTTTCCTAATTCCATCTTGAAATAAATTTTCTGTTTTCAGTGTGAAAAACTGCTCCATGTGATTTTTGCAGGCCTCCAGATTTTCAGTTTTACTACAAAGGGAATTCTGCATGAACTGGAATAGATGACAATCAAATGCTGCAAAGTTGGATGAATATGATGGGTGAGGTAAAACATTCCAGTCATATTTCCAACAATTTTTGTTGCATTTTCAGAAGTGTGCAGTCTGGCATTGTCATGGTAAAATATGACACCCTGTTGGCCAATTTGGAACATTTGGATATTGTTGTCTTCAGTTGATCCAGTTGAGATTAGTAATTATCTGAATTGATTGATTAGTTTTGTGGAAGAAGCTCATAATACACAATTCCATTTCAGTCCCACCAAACACACAGCATAAGCATTTTGGATATATGGCTTTCAGAGCATCTTTTAGGTTAAAATCATCCACTTTGAATTTAGCAAACCACCTTTAAACTGCTGAATTGTAGGTTTTTGAAAAAAATGACTTCACACATTTTCCAAATCTGTCAGAATGCATGAGTACTGTTGCTATGAAAAACACCTTGGCTGCTGTTGGTCTAAGAGCAGAACTTGATTCCAGATCTATAGATTTCCAAATAAAAAAAATCAATGATCTTGTTTTCTACTCCCTTCAGTATATCCATTGAGGAAGTTCTTGGAAACATGCTAATGGAATTAATTGATTTGCAATGCTGCTTAAAAAAACTGTTGGATTTCTATTCCAAATATGTTGACAAGAACACTTTTCCAAATTTCTGATCCTGAAGCCCTGAAGATGGTCTCTCTTTTTGAAGCACTTGTGTTTGCAAACAGCTATTCTCCAGAATGAAGAATGTTAAATCCAAATCAAGAATGCACACTTGGAAACAACAAACAACTGATGCACACTTGGAAAACTCACTTCAAATTGCTACATCCCATACGAAATCTGATATTGATAAATTAGTGAAAAGTAAACAGTATCAAATTTCTCACTGAAAATTCTTTTACTTTATACATGCTCATTAGTTGTATAAAAACTTAAACTTTATATTTCAAATTGGAAATATGTTTAGTTTTTTGTTTTTCATTAAATTTAAATTAACTACTGTATATGCTTTTATTGCAAAGGAATCATTTTGAAAACATAAACATTAATGAACAATAATAAATTATATGGATAACACATATAGAGTTGATATATATGTAAGTGGTTATACATCCCCAAAGCTTTCAACAAGTAAAAATATGGCTCTTCAGACAAAAAATTGAAGATCCATGGACTAGACCAAACTCTAAATCACACATTATAATAACCAAATATATCAATTTTTATATTCCTATCATTAAAATGTATTTTATTAACAGAATTAAATTGAATCAATTATTGAATTTTTGTAAAATTATATTTTCTTCAAAATTGTCATTTGTGATTGAAAGACATACAGGAAGAACTTGCAAATTAAATTTAGTTTAATTTTTATCAAAAGAATACAAGTATCCTAAAATTCAATTTTTTAAAGAATACAAATTCTGATCTTATATTCAAAAAAATAACTAGAAAGGTTACTTTCAAAAGAATATTGATACAGTAGAGCGTCGTTTATCCGAAAGAATTCCAGTCGGCAAATTTAAATTTTCGCTAGTGCCGTGGCACTGCAATCTTTGGCTATATCTTGGGCTACTCCAATATTTTTTTGTTGATGTGTGTATTTTAGCTGGCAGCACTGGCACTTTTGCGTGGTGTTTTTCTGAGGACTGTGTGTCGTGCTGAATTGAACGTTTTTGATACTAGATTAACTCCTAAAGTATAATTTTTTTTTTGTTTTTATATTTTTCAATATATTTATTTTGTTTGTAAAAAATAAAGAAATAATTTTTAACGATACAATAGCCACGGTTATTATTTTAAAAAGTTTACATTAGGCTTAACATCAACGAAAATTCAATGAGAAGCAATATGAAACAGAAAAATTTCAACATGGGATAGGTTATTTTTTTCAACATGGGATATTTTTTTGTACCTAATTGGTTATCTGAAAAGTAAGTTATCCGAACAACCCCAGTCCCCAATTGATTTGGATAAATGACGCTCTACATGTATTTCAAATATTTAGTTATTGATAATAACTGAATACCTTCTATGTTGTTCTTATACTGTCTCAAATTTTAAACAATTTAAGTATCTATATGATAAGATATCTCTCATTTCTTTTAGCATATGTATATTGTGTGTTTGTGTCGACATGCATGCACACGTGATTCTTTACATTAAATATTCACCACACAAATATATTAGGTCTTTCCAATGAAAAATGAACATTGAAAATCCATCCAATATTTGAAAACTTATGTATTACTAAGTTCTTAACATTCCTTCAAATGAAATTAATGAAAGATAATTCTTCTTGTGAAAATACTAGAATTAGACAATTAACATATCATTTACTAAGCCTAAATTTTGGCTTTTTTTGGTAACTTCAATCACACAGGGATACATTAACTGAATATGTAGACTTTATTGTTGTATTCAGAAATGCATTTTGGGTTCAATTAATTTCATCTCCAGTTTTTGAAACAGTTAAAAAGTTATTATAACCACTACATTATTATTCTTGCTCCTGTATTTTATAATATTAAAAATATGTTAAAAACTAAAGAAATTATTAACCAAAAAACTGATATGATGCTACAAAAAATTATATACAAAATTTCTTGCAGTTGCTAACTAAAATATCAGTACATAGATGAAACTGGAAGAGCATTAAAAATTAGAATAAGCAAACATTTATGTGCAATAAAATATAATTACACCAATTCAGCAGTTGCCATATATTGTAACAAGGAAGATTGTGAGATCTCACTAGATGATGTTAAAATTCTCTAAAAGGAAACTATATGAATATTTAGAAATTATTAAAACAACAGAAAATAAAATTAGTTTAAGCCAGATATAGCCATTAATGAAGACAGGTGAAGGTATAGCCATTGGGGAGATCTGGAAACCACTATTACATAATCGGTAGAATCCATTGCAGATTCCTTCCAACCCTTTTCCCATCCGTTTATAATACAGTGTTGTAATAATGTCAATTTTGTTGATTCTCACACAGTGCAATTTTATGTTTTTATGATTGTTTAAAATCTTTTAATTTTTTAAATCCAGTTTTATATCAGTTTATTTATTTTATTTATTTAATTTTTTAAATCTTATCAATTGTACTTTTATCCATATACATGTATAGGCAAGTTATGATGTTTAATTTTTTTAATGTTATTTTATTTATTTTATAAAGGTTTTTCAATATATCCAGTTTAATTTCCCAGTTTTTAATACCAATCTGTTAAATAATCAAATACAGTAAGTAAAAAAATTTTGTAAATAATTTAAGTAAACCATGTGTATGTGAATTAATTTAATATTAATTTCTATTTTAATAAAATCTGTAAAAACGGACTAAAGAGAAATTAATAGAACCCAAATTGCATTTCCAAATACAATAATAAAGTCTACATATTCAATTAATGTGTCCCTGTGTGAATGAAGTTACTAAAAAAAGCCAAAATTTAAGCTTAAATCAAAAAAACCATTAACAGAAATGATCAATCAATTAAGATATCAACTTCATTATTAACAAGTACAAGAGCGATGACTAAAAACATCCTTGTTAACTTGCTAGGTATTGAAACTTGTTTAAATATCCAATATACTGTTTTGCTTCTGATTTACTAGTAATTTCTATTTTCTATTGATTTATACATCATTATACTTCATATATTTAGAAATTGAGCAGGTTTATAATATGTATTAAAGATTAAGTTGTGGTAAAATTTTTTAAATATCAGTTCATAGTTTAAGTCACTGTTGTCTTAATTAATAAAATCAATTTGGATTATAATAATGATATAATTAAATAAACTGGCAATATTTGTGACTAATAGAAAATAATATAACTGCCAATACTTTAACAATTTCAATAGAATTTAAAATATAGACATTTAAAAATCCTGAGGGAAAATAGAATAATATATAAAGATTCTATTATGATTAAAATTTCCATATTCTATTTTATAGAAATTTTTGTTCAAATATTTTTATCAATATATACATATAAATATGGCAATGCTTTTTAACTGCAATCAATTACTACAGACCATTATGATGATGATGAAATTTATCTACATTAAATATATTAAATTATTTCTAAATGCTTCCTGACATCAACTTAATAAAATTGATAATATTTATAATCCAAAATATTATTTTAATAAAATTTAATCTGAAAAATATGTTCAAAATAAAAATTAATGAACTCCCTTCATAAGTTATAAGAATGATTAAAGTAAAATTAAGTTATCAAATAGTTGCATTTCTTTGTAACTTCTACTGGAAGAATATAGTTAGTTTCCATTACTTTCAAATACCTGTAATAAAGTTTGTATTAACAATTACTGATTACTTTTAGAATTGCAATGGCTTTACAGAAACTTTTCAAAGCTCAAAAGTCATTTCATTTTTATAACAACAAATTATAAATTGATTACTCACATCTTTGCGAAGTCTGTTTATGTTCGAACCACCTTTTCCAATAATTGCACCAGCATTCTAAGTGAATCAATAATAATTTATTATAATCGATCATTTAGTTAATGAAATAAAAATAATCTTTTACTTCAGTTAACTATTTATTAATCCTTCTTAAAAACTAAAGATTTCTTATAAAAACTTAATTCTAATAGGTGGAAAAATGAACAGATCTAGATTTGCTCACTAGGTGGTATTCTAGTTATGCTTTACTTCCTGTTTAGTATCTTTATAATTGCTGTTTTGCCACATTTTGCAGTGTAAATAAGTATCTACAGCATGATGAAATAGTGTAAAATTTATTCTAAGACAGTGATTCTCAACCTTATTTCATTAGCATATATACATAGGCAGCCTATTCCTTAAATTGTACTTTCCTACTAGAAAAGTATTTGTAATTCATATAACTGCCATTATTTCAAATTCATGTTATAACTAAATAAATAATTCAATATTGGGATTAAAAAAGCATTGACATAATCAGGTGAACAGACCTAATATATTTACATTCAGAATAAACTACATAAAAAATTATGTTAATTAATACATTGCATTTGTTACTTTAATCTATTAATAACTAGCAGATGAGTCCTGCATTGCTCAGGCAAAAAATAACAGCAGCAAAGATTAAGATTATTTTGTACTTCTAACCTTTCTATTATATTATAGTATTTGTGTTTTTTATTTACAAAGGTTATCTTATGTAAGAGTTTATCACACCTAACAAGTGCCCAATATAACACATTTTTTAATTCTTTAAAATGTGTTAGATTAGTCACTAGGTGCAATAAAATAACCTTTGTAGTTATATAAATCAAATACTCTAATATAACAAACATTAAAACAAAAACCATACAAAGAATTTGGTTATTTCAGCCTACCATTCTCATGTTTATCACCATACTTGAATTGTATGAAATGGCACACTTTCAAGCAGACACCAATTGAAAATATATCATCTTAAAAAATTTAACATATCATATGTTTTCCTATTGTTAACTCTAAGAAACTTCCATTCACAACTAAATATCAAATGGTAATCTGCCAACAAATCAAATTTCACAAAAACAGACCAAATATTTAAACTCTGCACCCTCAAAAACATCTTGAAACATATTTTGTGCTCACCTGTAACCTTGTATTATGTAATTTTGTAAGGAAACAAGTCCAAACGTTATTTTTATTTACTGTTATTTTGCTTATTATTCTATTTTTGTTTGGGGCTTATGTTTTGTTAGGACGAAGGTTTCCTCACCATTCACCTTAGTAACTTAAAAATAGAAGAAAAACCAACTCACCGACGAAAGAAAAGCGCCGTAGAAAAACTCGCGCACATTTGCGCTTCCCGAGCGGAAAAAAGTAAGTCCGCACCGAGAAAAGGGGGGGAAGACCCCACAAGCACGAATTAGGGACTCGCTAAACCTTAAAGAATGAAAAATGTCCCGAAAAATGTGAAAAAGAATAATGTAAAAGGTTAGAGAGTATTGTCGGAAAATAGGCTGCCAGACAAACGAAAAAAGTTTATTGTTAGCGTTAAGTATGTAAATGAGGAGAGTGATCTCATTCAGAATTGTGACGTCACCTCACACTATAAAGCCTCTAACTCAAGTGAAAACGAACGAGGTGAATTCCTGATAGCAACGAGCTTTGGTGAGCTTCGTAGCAGTGAACGAGAGAGGTGTCCGATAGGATTTTGAAGTTATTCGATTTGTGGATCGACGATTATAGAAAGTCTTGAGAGTTTGAGGAAATAGGTTCCTAGTATATTGAGGTGACGATTAGGATCTTTAATTTATAAGAATTATTGTTTATAAGTTAATTCTTTGATTTTGTCGAATTCCAAAGGGGAATAGAATTAAGTTAGAAATAGATTGATTTGAGTTTGTCGGATTGATTCTTGTTGAATTTCATTGAATAAATTATTGTTTGATTTTTACTAAATACTGTATATAGTTTATTACTAGAAGTTTAATTAAATATTTGATTTTTGTTATTGACAAACTTTGTCATTATTTAATTCGGTGCACGCTTAAAGTCCAGGCCTGGCACACTAACGCGAATCCGCGTAAAGTACCCGTTAGGGAATGGCTATTTCCGGCACGCAGTAGTGTCGATAATCGTTGGATAAGTCGGAAAAATAATATAGTACTTTACAATTTTCCTATTCGAATGCTACCATACCTCTGGTCGAATAGAAAGAAGGGACTGTTGCAGAAGTGGGGTTGAAGTACTTCAACTGAAAGTTGTTGTTGACCTCCTCCCTGAAGAGAGAATGGTCAATGACTACTACTTAATATTTGAAAAGTGATCCATGTTGGATGGTCCCACATGTGATCAAAGTTGTTAACCTTAACATCCAAAATACTTCATAAGACTTGTTTAAATAAAAAAAATCTTATAAAAATGCCAAAATAATTGCTTTTATATGGTAATTGTGTTTATATTTTTGCAAAAGATTATATAAATTATGTGGGAAGTACATTCTCATAAATATTGCATTTATAGAAAAATTATTTGGCTGCAATTTGAAAAAACAATAATTTTTTCAAATTGCAACCTATGAATTCCAACCGTCATTCATCTGTGTGACTGTCTGTCCTTCCTTAATCTCAAGAGATAGATGGAAGTTTAGATCAGATGTGGAAAGCTTAAGAGCAGGAGGCCCAGGTTAACTATATACAGGTAGCCCTCGATTTACGCCGGTTCAATTTACGCTGATTCACAATAACGCCGCTGCACAATTCGCGATTTTGCTGTGTAATTCCCCGATTTTCCCGATGCCAGAATGATTTTCGTTTCAGTGTTGACGTATTTACCAAGCTGCGAAATTGTACATTCGTTAAAACAAAGATTTTTTTTAATATATTTATTTTTTCTGTTTAATATTATTGGGTATGTATACATTTGCATTAAATTAATATTAAAATACTAAACGTTTAGGTACCCACGAGTCAAGTTATCAAACTTAATAGTCGAATAAATGGCGTCCGAATACATAGCGCCATTGAATTTATCCCGTATCAGTTCATTCAGGAAAACACCTTACGACGCAGTAGCACTTCCGCCGATCAAAAACTATCGTTAGTGAGACAAATCTACTTTTTGTTGGCCAGACGATAGCTATCTCTCCTTAATTTTCCCGCTCAAACTGACCTTACATATGCGCTACGGCGACCGGTGGTCGACCAATCAGTGTCTCAGCTCATCCGTAGCTCTATGTCAGGTTAACGTACCTTTCGACTATGGAAAGTTTGACGGTTGAACTTTGTGAGTTAGGCTAGGACTCCACTAGCGTAAAAACAGCGTAAAAACCCCTCGCCGTAAAAGCTTTTATTCACGTGACTCCGATATCTTACGCTTGAGCAGGCCGTAAAACCAGCGTAAAAGCGAGTTGAGCTATGTTCAACTTTCGACGCGAATACGGCCGTAAAGAGGTATCTTCCACCAATCAGAAGTCAGTGAAATCTAGGTCATCGCGACACGGAGCTAAAATGGCGGAAAACGAGCTTTTGTGTACGTTCCCTCGTGGCTACTCTAGAATAGATCCGGAAAGATTTATCGAAAACATTCGAAAGTATTCGTGTATCTATGACAAGAGGTAACCCGATTATAATAATGGATACCAAAGGAAATCCTTCAATTTAGAGGAGTATATAATAAAAAAGCTAAGCTTATAAGTGCTGTATATTATCTTAATAATACGATAATAAAAGTTAGTATATGAAAGTAAAGATATTATTTTTACTACATTTGTAATTATAGTACAGAAAAAACTCGTAGAATATAATCATTGTCTTTATATCGATACATCACGTATACAACCGTCTTTCGTTTCTACCAATTCACACTTGGGGCAGCACCGTTGCCGTAAAAACTTCGCGTTAGCCAGACCTCCACCGTAATCCGAGCGCAAACGCAAATAGGTCACGTGATTAAAAGCTTTTACGGCGAGGGGTTTTTACGCCGTTTTTACGGTAGTGGAGTCCTAGCCTTAGACAATGATTGGAAGCGAAGCGCGAATGTAAAAAGGAGCTTCGTCGCATCCATTCGACCATATTCCGAAATTCTCAATGAAAGTAAACAAAAATGTAAACAATTAAAGATAGATACTTTTTCCGAAAAATGTAAGAGATCCGAAACAAAACTTTTTAATAAAAACATTTAACTTTATTTTATGATAAAATACATTTTAAAAATTAAATTTATTTGTACTTTGTATTATATTGTATTAGTAAACAAAATTATTTGCGTATTTTTCACTTATGTGGAACCTAACCCTATACCTCAGTGTAAATATGGGTTCGTTTTACGCCGATTCGATTTGCGCCGGCTTTTGTAGGAACGGAACTGCGGCGTAAACCGAGGGCTACCTGTATATGAACTTTCAGTTTAAACTGGAAGTCACATTAATTCAATTAAAAAATTATCCCCTGAAAAGAGTTAGATAGATAACCAGCAAGACTTTATTGTTAACAGGAAAAATATGACATACAGGGATAAGACCACTAAAAAACTTGAAAACATTGTGACAAAAAGTTTCAGCCCAGCATTGTGACGACGTAAATAAATAATTGCTTGTAAGAATTATTTTGGTTTATTTGATTATGAGGATATAATATGCAAGTGATCAGCCTAGGGGGATGCTTCCCAGGAAGAGTTTTATGGAAAGCTGGCCCTATTTAGTGTTACTAACATGAAGAAAACCTGGAAAACTCTACATGGCCAGCCCACTGGCCATGTCCAAACCCACCACTAACTAACTACTAGAGCTTGGTGGTTTTATGCACTTGGCTACTAGACAGCACTTATTAAAATTAAGAAAGTACCATTCAGAAATGAGAAAACCTGAGTTCTTAGATGTGAATATTAAATACTTTTCACAGGGTAACACTTTCCATTCCACGCAGGAAAGTGCTAGGTGCTACCTGTCTCAATCACATAGTGCATCTATTTCATGCTGTATCATTGTCACAGTAATGCTAGTCACAGCCCGCTGGCCATGTGGAGTTTTCCAGGTTTTCTTCATGTTAGTAACACTAAATAGGGCCAGCTTTCCATAAAACTCTTCCCGGAAAGCATCCCCCTAGGCCAGGGGTCGGCAACCTGCGGCTCTTTGGATGTGAAGCTGCGGCTCTTTAGTTCCATATGCAAATATTATTTATTTTATCTAAAAAAAAAACACATTTAAAAATCGTTCTGAATCGATTAACGAGGATTAGGCACCGATTCTATCTCTCAGCCACTTGTACTTGCTTTTCACCGCACCCCTCCCCCGTGACACGCGTCGTCACTGTCGTCAGTCCATCGGAAGCTCTCGAATGACGCCGTCGTCGGATGTTTCTATTATCTAATTTGTTGTGAAAAACACTACTTATATATGAATAAATAGATATTTTTTCTTATGAATAAATAGATTAGTTTTTTTTATCAAAAAACTTTATTTATGCGAGTACTATTTATTGTTGGCAAGAAAAAATTTTGTGGCTCTTTAAAAACTTTGAAATTTTGTAAATTGTAATTTTGACTCTTTCGACTCAAAAGGTTGCCGACCCCTGCCCTAGGCTGATCACTCGCATGTCATATCCTCATAATCAAATAAACCAAACTAATTCTTACAAGCAATTAAGTGACTATAATATATATTTTTAAAATTATATCCATTTTATAAGAATTATATTTAGTTTATTATTTTGTTAAATTTTTTGCCAACAGATGATGCTACGTGTAAATCAACAAATCAAAGGTAGATAGAACTTTACAGAAATCCAATAAATACGAGGTCTGTTCAAAAAATATGCGGACTAATGTCATAAAACAAAATGTACTTTATATAGAAGTTACATGTCTGGGTCCCTTTCAAAGTATTCTCCTTCCAAACACACACACTTATCCCAACGGTGTTTCCACTTGTTGAAACAGTCCTGGTATGTTTCTTTTGTAATGTCCTTCAACGCCTTCATCACCTTTGCCTTAATCTCGGGAATTGTCTCAAATCTTCTTCCTTTCAATGATCTTTTGAGTTTGGGGAACAAGGAAAAGTCACAAGGAGCAAGGTCAGGTGTGTAGGAGGGTTGGGGAAGAACAGTGATCAAGTGTTTGGCCAAAAACTCACAAGTTCTGAGGGCTGAATGGGCTGGAGCATTGTCGTGATGGAGAAACCAGTCGCCACTCTTCCACATTTCTGGATTTTTGTGATGGATGGCATCCTTCAGACGTTTCAGAACTTCAATGAAGTAAGTCTGGTTCACTGTGGAGCCTTGGGGGAGATACTCATGGGGAACAACACCTTTTGCATCAAAGAAAAACGTCAGCATCACCTTGACATTGGAATGAACTTGGCGAGCTTTTTTGGGTCTGGGGGACCACTTGAAACATGCTGCACACGTCATAGCAACATCACCGTAAGCCGTGTTGAGCATAGCAAATGTTTCAGTTGCAGATTTTACAAGTTTAATACAAAATTTCACAGCAAATTGTTGCTCCATCAGGTCATTCATTCTGAAATCCGACAAATGAAGAAATCGCACTTCACTAAAAACCACATAGCTAATCAACAAATCAAGGTATCTGTAATCGGGAAACAGCTTTATCACCAGACGATCTGTACAAACCTAGTGACACTGAGCAGATTCCCCTGGACCAACTGGAGCCGCACAATTCAAACAGTCCACATATTTTTTGAACAGACCTCATATTTTGGATGTACGACATTATCTAAGTAAGAGGAATGTAAACATAATTGTAGAGTTTCATGGAATTAGTCGAATGGCCTAGGAGTGTATAGCAAACAAGCAAACATCCTCATTTATTAATATAGATTAAATAACTTTTAAAAATATTATTTCAAAACATATTAAACACGTAACAAATGTGTAGTGCAATCTTTAAGTTCATTTTAAAACATATACAAAATAGTTTTTGAAGTCAGGTTCAACTGATGTAATGTTAAATCTAAAGAAGCATTCAAACAGTACTGTTTTTTTGTTTTTTAAAGGTATGAGAAAACCCTCTCCACAAACTCCATATCTGTAAATGGCAATAGAAACTTATACTTCATGAGAAAGCTGTTCATATTCTCTGCTCATGTCTGCCTAAGAGTTAAAAGATTTTTCTTTGTATTCAGGTTTTAAAGCAGTATCAGTCATAAGTTCCAATCTTTTTCTTATAATCTGAGAGCTCAGATGTATTATTCTTCTAAAGGATTTGCAATCCAATTGTTCTCCAGGTTTCCTTGAAAGATGATGATAGATTTTTTAAGCATTTAGATATGAGTATTTCCTAACTCATTTCCTGAGAGAGCTGTAGCTTATTCTCTAAAGGAATTATGAAAAGTTTCAAATGCATCAGGTAGATCATTCTCAATACATAATCTTCAAAAATCCAATTTTTAAATCTTATATTCAATTTTGTTTAAACTTTAATTAAAGTGCATTAGCAAATTATTCTAAAGTGCTAAATTTAGATTATTTGTAGAAAAATATCTGATAAGTATGCAACAGCTTGAAGCCAGCCAGTTATGTAACTTAGAAGCAAGTTGGAAAAAATATTGTATACTAAAATAATTTTTAATTGTATAATATGTAATTGTATGTATTCAATTGTAAAATATGTCTTCTCTCTAATTTTCTGAACTGTCACAGCACTCCAATATGCTACCAGATACATCTTTGTTTTATCAGAAAATAGTGCATGTTTTACATCATGTTGATTGCATCTAAAATAATAAGCTTAACTTCATCTTTTACAGTATTAGATGATGTCAAGATTACCATTTTGAATAATTGTACAACAATAGCACACCAATACAACCTAAATTATATGACTAAAATTCTTCTTACCAATCAAAACAGTATCCAGCAACAATGAAAAATGATTAACTTATAATGAAATTTTCTTATAATCACTTTCTTTCAAAAAGTTAAACTTTTATTATGCTAAATTGAAATTTTGTTACAATGACATTTGTTAAACCAAAACATTTTTACATTAAGATGTATAATAAATTGATGGGAGATTTAAAACATTATATAAAATTTTATTTTACCATGTTCATTACAATGACATTTTACACAATTGTATACAATATGTATATATATTGTGTGTTATAATGAATTTAAATTTATATGATAAACAGCTAACCAACTCATTGTATACAATGAGTTGGTTAGCATGTGCACTTTTATGCAGTATAAAAATGCTTATTTCTGCTACAAGCTGTAACAGTGCAGTATTTTTTTTTATTTAAGAACTGTAAATGAAAATGCACACAGATTCCAAAAAATATTAGATGAATATAATTTTTATGGCATTTGTTTCAGATGATATACATCATCAATAAAAATATGTTCTTTTAAAAAAGAAACTTAAAATAGAATGAATAAAAAACATCTTAGAAAAAGTGACAAAAAAAATTCTAATTTAGTAAAGTACAAAATTTTTCTTTCTGAAAATAGCAATTATCAACTAAAAATAAAGCTTATCATATTACTAAATTAGTATAAATTATTAAACATTTGAAATAATTACCTTGCTTTGTAATAAAAATCTAACATCCACAGCACGTCCTCTGCTACGTGCACGTTTATGGGAAATTTCACTCCCTTCATTTTCTTCAGTTGCCATACGTTTTGCTGAACCTAAATTTTAAATATTTCAAATTAAAATTTAATTTAAATAATTTTATAAGTATTTTAATAAAAATACTTATAAAATTATTTAATGTATTCATTAAATCCAGTTAAATCATTGTCTTTAATTTTCAGAAAAAATACAAAAACAAATATATTCAATCAATTATAAGAATATTCAAATGGCTCCAGGTAATATTTCTATAAAATTAAATTTTTAATACAAGTTATGTACTTAAAAATAAATATTTATAAGGACTAAAACAGCTTTTTTAAATTTAAAAATTTCACTGGAAATTCACTGAATTAGGCATTTTTTTTTAATTCAGTAAATGAAAATTTTTTAAATAGTTGCATTGATTCCCAATTCTTAAATAAGCAATATTTTATTATATATATTAAAGATGCAAATGATTTTTAATATATAGTAGTAACTTTTTAATTGATTTTTATTAATATTTTAATAATTCTGCATTAAAATTAATCCAATATTCTAATAATCAGTTATTTACAAATCATAAATTCAATACATATGATTCCTTATAATAAACTACATAGGTCACTTAAAAAAGTTTTGTCTTCCAGGTTTACTTTTTAGTGTCTTTCAAAATACTCTCCACTGCACTCAATATTACCATACACTGAAACCAGTCATCAAACCATGCCTTCCACTTTTCTTCTGGGAGTTCAGCACAGTCTTGATCCTACACTGCCAGAAGCTCATCTTTGCTGGAAAATCACCTTTGAGACTTTTTGACTTCTTGAAATAAGCCAAAATCACAGAGAACAAAATATAAACTGTATGGAGGGTGATCCAAAATAGTTAGTCTTAACCAAATAGGCAACTGTATCCTTTGACCTGTGAGCTGGAGCATTATCATTGTTTTGAGTCATGTGTTGCACCCAGATCTTGGTCAGATGTTCCTCAGTTGTTGAATGACTTTTGGCAAACATGTTTGTGTGCATCAGGAACTAGTGACTGTATGCTGTTTTTCTAATATAACACACTTCACAATACCGTGTTTTCCAAAGAATGCAGCAATCATTCGTTTCTTTGTCGAATGTGATTTTCAGTCCTCTATTGGAGATGGAAAGGCTTCATCTTCAAAGAGCCAAACTTTGCTCTGAGATTTTGTTAGAATGTAATAATAACAATAGAGCTAGGTCTCATCACCTGTTATAATGCTGCTAACATCAGTGACAGTTTGTTAGTATTGTAATGCAATACAATTTCTGGCTACTAACATCCTTGGATGTCCCAGACTCAAACTATTTAATCATTTTTTTGCTCCATTCTATTCTGTTGTGCTTCTGCTCCTCCATCAGTGAAAGATACCTAAAGCAAACAAACCTTTCTTAATTCTAAGTGCTTGTGCAGAATGTTACAAACAAATGATGCACTGATATTCAATATTCCCAGAATCTGCTCTTTCTGAGAAATTTCTCTACAACAGCTATATTTTCTAACATCACTGCTTCTGCAGGCATACTTAAGCATGAGTCCTCCTCCACACTAAAATTACCACTTTTAAACTGTTTATACCAGGGTTGTCCAACCTTTTTATGTAATGGGTCAAATTAGAAATTTATGTATATTCAGAGAGCCATAAAGGTACTTTATGTAAATATATTCTTTTGAAAAGTTCAAAATGTGAATATCAAATTTTAATAACAAATATATATAATTACAAAAATACTGTATTACTAGCTGTTACTTGCAACTTTGCCCATACAGATTGCCCATTTATATTCAGTATTTCAACAACCATATTAATTGTTATATAACACCTACCACTGAGAATGATGAGAATTGCTGAGAATCAAACAAACTGTTTTCAATTTGATCAATTTTCTGGAATGTTTACAATTGTTCTATAATCATCTATATGCAATAACAAATTCAAATTTAAAATGGTTCGAACATTTAGCTAAAAAATCAAAATAGCATATCGATGCTCTCCTACAGTCTTCTCTCTTAACAGAAATGACAAAAACCGTATAGAAGATTCTAACTCTCCAGGGGTTTATGCGGTTCCTCTTCAAGATCACCAGGTTAACCATGCTTTAACATACATTGGAGCAACCGCAAGAGGTCTTGCCATGAGGATGAAAGAACATGAATACTCGATAAGAAAAAAGCTGACCATAACGGTGCTAGCGACATATGCGAATAATGAGGACGTTCATGTTGATCTACAAAACACTAAATTGCTACACAAAGTATCGGATAAGGCACAACTCAAGTACCTCAAATCGCTGGAGATATATAAGGCAATTAAAAAAGGGGTCGGTATTAATTTCAAAGAAACCGATACGCTTTCCGCAGCATGGCGCGCCATATTTGAATTAGATCCCAATGATTGAAACGCGCATCAAAGATATTTTAAATTACGTCATGATCTACGTGAAATCAATTTATTCGGATATGTTTTAAATATTTTACATATTTTCAATTTTAACGCAACATATTCGAATTACGTAGTTAAACGGAACTTTCAAAAACATTCTATTCTACTAGCCGTTAGTTCGATATCGTCAATATCTGAGGATGTCTATTACATATAGATGAAAACGTTCGTAGAAAGAATTTTTCTGTTTTGTTATGAACTGGTGATGGTTTATTTGGTGAGTGTTATATAATTAAGTACCCAGTTTTTTGAAATA